AAAGGTAGAGCAATATCATAAAAATATTACAGGAATCTCAGAGGAATCCCATAGAGAAACCAGGGTGGCTGAGGTAGCCGTTTCAACACGCATCTGAGTTACTGAAGCTAAATATCTGATCGGATCTCTAGTAGGTTACTCACTCGCATCATCCAGAGGTGGTTGGAGTCTCCTCTGGAGGCAGGGCACTCTTGGGGCATGCGGTGATGAGGAGAGAGCCAGGTTCAGATTCACCTGGATGACCGCATGGATAATGGCTGCCCTTCTTCCTGGCCCAGGCCTTTTTATCACCTCTCTGACCTCAGCAGCCCGGTCCAATGGAAGCTGCCAGTGCTGGCCATAAGCCAACCAATCTACCAAAGCATCGCTGGTTACTTGGGCAGGTGAGCGGGGCTTTCCCCCACCAGGTGACCAGAGCATCGCCTCCCAGGCACCAGGCTTTTGTCATGTAGACAGGGAGGAAGATCCCCCGCTGTGAGGGATTCAACAGCAGCCTCTCAGGCTGGCAGAGACAGATCTCTGGAGAGGGGCACCGACGGTGGCATTTCTGCCACAGGGACAGGGGCACCAGGTCTGACAGCAGCGCTGGGATCTCTCCCTGCCACAGGACTGAGACACAGCGCTCACCACCCAGGACACAGGGGATGGGGCAGGTGTCCCTTTGGGGGTGGAGTGCTGCCCTGGGTGGTGACGCCAGGACTCACTGCGCTGCAGCACTGCCTCCCCGCGCTGCAGGTTCTGCCACAGACACTGGACGCAGGTCTCCTCCAGTTAGGCTCTTGTAATCTGAAGAAGGGCCTTATCCTCATTCCAGCTGCGCTGGGTGACCTGGGCCTGTGTGGGGGCTGCTACCCAGGTGCGCGTTCCCAGGTCATAGCTGATGAAGTCTCCCCCATCGTAACCCAGCTGCACGTGGCCTCCAGAGCTGCCGTCTTCACGGAGCTCGCAGCCGTACATGAGCTGCAGAGTGTGAGACCCCGAAACACAGATCCAGGTCCCGGGTCAGGGTCACAGCCCAGCGAGCAGGCGCCATCCTGGGCTGCCAGGCTGGGCAGGGGCAGAGCCCACCCCAGGGGGCAGGGGCAGCATTGGGACCGCTCGGGGGCTCCAGTCATGGAGAACAAGGCTGAGGGGACACAACTGTTGTCCCCGTGCACCCTGGGAATGCAGGAGCCCTGGGCTGGGGAGGAGGGTGGGAATGGCCCCTGGATGGGGGGGGAAGGGGAGGTCAGGGGAAGAAGGAGCAGGTGAAACTGCCTGGGAGGAGTCCAGGCTGGAAAGCGGAGCGGTGCTTCAGGGGCTCTTGGCAGGAGAGAAGACAGTGCTGAATAGGCCCCGGGACAAGGAGCAGGAGGCAGGGTTGGGGTTGGGCCGGGCAGGGGTGCAGGCGGGAACCCCGGGAGTGGGAGCTGCAACCCTTGCCCTTACTGATGGCACCAGTCATGCAAGCTCCTTGTGCCCCAGCCCAGGAGATCCAGATGCACAGGGCTGGTGACACAGAGCCTTGCAGCCAGCTGTCCTGAGCACCGCAGGCCTGCATGGCCCCTGCCCTCTCACGTCTGTCCTCTCTCCACAGTCCTGGTCCTCTGTCCTTCCCACCCCGTCAGTCCCTGCATGCAGGACTCAGACCTCTTGGCCTGGGTCAGAGGGGCCATCGGGGTCTGGGTGACCGAGGGGCCTGGAGCCCCTCCCGCAGCACGGGGGTCGCAGCGCTCTTCTCACCCCAGTGCACTTGCACTGCGACAGGGACAGGCTGGTGTGCAGACGGGTCTCGGGGACCGGCTCACAGGGGCAGCGACAGCCCCTGGCTGACCCGTTTCAGGAAGGCAGAGTGGGTTTGGAGGCTGCCAGCACCAACCACAGCTCACCTGTCAGTAACACCGAGGTGCTGGGGAGCTCGGGCAACAGGACATGGCGCGAGCTGGGGAGCTGTGCACTGACTCATGGCAGGACAGAGAACAGTCGTTCCCACCGCTATCGGGCTCACAAGGTTTCCCTCCGTGCATCGGCCTGGACTCCTGCTGCAGGAGTCAGACAGCCTGGGTGGGAGGGGCGGGGGTCTGTGTAACAGGCGCCGAGGCGCTGACCTGCCGGGGCAGGGAATCACCAGAGCCTCAGTCTGCTGGGCACAGGACAGGGGATGCTGCTTGCACCACATGCACGGGGTGGGGGGAGTGCTGCCCCTGCAGCCCCCTGACCTCTTGGCTGGAGACTGAGTAGGTGCATGACCCCAGCTCCTGCACCAGCCCCAGCCCCTGCCCGAGGCGACTGCAGGGAGGAGCTGACAGCAGGGACACACGGACTAGACATGAGATGATGTGATGCCCTCCCGGCTCCCCACCCTGAGCTGCTGATGGGCAGGTGCCTCCCTGATGCCCTCATCAGTCACCCAGGCCCCGAAGACCCACAGCCTCCTGCCCACACCTGCCTGCTCACACTCACCCCCGGTCTGGTTGTAGTGATGCTGCAGTGTGAGCAGGTTCCATTTAAATCCGTCCTGCCAGCCCCGCAAGGACCTGGTTTCCCGGTCCCAGAAGCCTGGTCCAACGGCCCCCTGCACCCAGTCCCCACGCGGCTCCTGTCTCCGTGTATCACTGTCATAGTGCAGAATTGGCTGGTTGTCTACGTAGCTCATGGCAGTGAAGGCGGGCACGTCTCAGCTGGGATCCGACACCCCCGTGTAGAAATGCTGGTAGGAGTGGGAGCCTGTGGGAGTGACGGGTCAGCACTAGTGGGGCAGACACCAGTGCCCCCAGTGCTCACTGCCCCCTCCCGGAGGGGCCGCAGAGGATGGACATGGGGTTGCGCCAGGCTGGAGCAGAGGTGCAGAGCGAGGGACCTGTGGGGCCGACAGGACAGGGCAGAGCCGGCTGTGTGAGGGGCAGAGGCCAGGGAGGAGGGACAGGACGACCCAGAAGGGCACAGGCCTGGCCCGGAGGGGCCACACACCATGTCCCACAGCCCAGTCGTGCTGCCCCGCACCCCCCGTCCCAGGCACGGCCCTGCACAGCCCAGGCACTCGGTCCACCCTGCTCCTGGGGAGCTCTTGTGCGCCCGTGTCGGGGCCTGGGCTCAGCCCCTCTCAGGTCTCGGTCCTGCTGTGCGGTTGGGGCTGGGGCCGGAGGGACCCTGCAGAGCAGATGAGGGTCCGGCTGGACAAGCAGGTTGTCCTTGGTTTGCACCCACCTGCCTTCCCCATTAGAGGCAGCGCAGGAACGGCCGCGCTGGGAGAGGGGAGGCGCTGGGTGCCCGTCTGTGGATTCATCTCCTGACCCGACAGGGAGTGCTGGAGGGGGGTGGGGTCCTGCATGGCTCTGTGGGGTCTGCCTGCCCCAACCTGACCTGACCCCCATCCTGCTCCAGACCAGATGCAGTGGCCCTGAATGGCTCCATGGGGACTGGGGTCGCTGCTTGCCGAGCCCCCGCCGGCAGGTCTCAGTGCTGGGAGCTCAGTGGGACCCCGCAGCCTGGACCCTGCACATGGAGGGAGCAGGACTCTTCATCAGGACTTGTCTCTGTCCTACCCCCAGTCCGGCTACAGTTATTGCCACTCACCAGCGCTGGTTCCTGGGTCAGCCGTGGTGCCCACGAGCAGCAGCAGGAGCAGCAGCATCAAGCACAGCGCCCTAAAGGAAGATCAGATGAGGATGGGACTATGGGGCAACACATTTCTTGGGATACTCCAAACTGCCTGTCGATGCCACCGGGGAACTGTCCTAACTCGGTATGTAGTAGCTAGGTCCTGTGTACTGAGCTGGTCCCTGAGTGAATCATGACTGATTGGTAACTGGTAACACAGCAGCCTAGCAGCCAGGCCTCCAGTAGTTCCCCCCCCCCCCCACACACAATACCCCAAGACAGACACAGTCGCACAAGCACCCATGTCATGAGTTTTGTCTGTCAGCAGCCAGAGGTGGAGGCCCCAGAAGCTAGACCCCCTGCACCGATCTCCACAGCTGGCAGGCGTCGTGGCCTCAGCAGGGGCCACCATCCGTGCAGCTGTCACCCCGCTGCGCCTCAACACGCAGGGTCACCCATGGCACCAGTTCTGCTTGTCTGCAGCTTGAGGTGCAGTTTCCCAGAAACCCTTGCACCTAGCTCCTTGAAACTTGGCAGGCTTTGTGGCCTCAGCAAGGGCTACCGTCCCTGCAGGGTTCACCCCGCTGTGGCTTAACACAAACATGTGACATGAGATTTGCTTTCAGAAATGTGGGGTGCAGTTTCCCAGAATCCCCTACACCTATCTCCTTGAGGCTTGGCATACTTTGTGGCCTCAGTAAGAGCTCCCATTTCTTCAGTTTTCACCCCCCCCACAGGCATAACACACATGCATGACACAAGTTCTGCTTTCAGGACTTTGAGGTGCAGTTTTCCAGAAACCCCTGAATCTATTACCTTGAAGCTTGGCACACATCACGCTCTCAGCAGAGGCCACCATTTCTGCAAGTTTCATCAAAGTCAGTCAAAAGACAATAAACTTATAGATATTTCATTGATTCCCGCTTATACTCTATGGCCGAATCTCTGAATTGGGTCCAAATCTTCCAAAGTGATTCGGCTGAATTGGATCAGAAAAAACGATTCAGATCTCCAAATCGAATCTCTGGCATCCAAAGCAGCCAAATCCAAATCCAGATTGAGTAGTTCCCTATTCGCACAGGCCTAAATAGTAAATATAATACATTTATAAAATATAATATATAGTGTCCCATTAACAGATTGTAAAAGTCCAAATGAAATGAATCATACATAACAACATTACCAAAGCCAAATGTTTCTACACGATGGAGAGTTTTCAGTATCAGCAGTTCAAAACAATATTTTAACTTTTCCCAATTAAAAAACAAAGCATGAAGTAGACTTGGACTTGTGAAATAGTTTGATTTCTGTAAAGATCAATCGCTGACAGGAAACTGCCTTCCTTTGTACAGGGGTGCACGTGCACCCACACGCACCCCTACAAGTCGCCAATGCCACCCAGATTCCCCAACTTACGAGCAACAAGACTGCTCCTGTCCCAGCCGCTAACAGGGATGTCTTTGTTCAATGAAGTTTGCACTGCTGACGTGCTGGATACAAGGGCGTCAGCCACTTCTCTTTGCCTGTGCACATTTCCTCCCAGTGTTCTTCCCCCGGTGGTTTCCATAGTTCATCACCCTGTGGGCCTGGGAACGATGAAAACAAAGCGGGGCCAGATTTAGACGAATTGGGGGTGGAAACTTTTCTTGGGTAGCCCCAGACTCACCATCCAAGCATCGTGTCCAGCCTCATGCCCAGGCTGCTTTGCAGGGGCTGCGGGTCGCGAGTGAGGGACGCCAGGAGGCCGGGGGGGGACCCAAGCGTCCGGGCTCCCAGCTTCAGCCAGCTGCTTGCCCCG